AGATATATTCAACATCTCTACTTTTGACCTGAAATTCCTCTGTCAGAGTTTCCAGCCCTTGCCTGCAAATAAAAGCTAATTTATCTGCCAAGGTTATGTCTCTTTGAAAACAGTATCGTGTAGACCTAGGAGTTCTTTGAAGTTGGTTGTTTGCTAGTTGGGTAATGAAATATCTGCAAGCAAATAACCAAGCTCTAAAGACACCTAGGACTCCATAGTTCAACCTTAAGCTACATTTATTCTCTTCTATTGGTAAACTTTTGGCTTGTTATTGCACTTCTTTAGGACTTGCTTAGCAGAATCTGGTTTTAAAAAATCAAGATGGTGGCCATTAAAGTGCAATTGAAGCGCCAGCCATTTTAATATCCGTCACATGAAAAACTACTGAAACTTTAATCACATTGTTATGGCCACCATATTGGCTTTATTCACCTGACTCAATGGACAACTTTCATCACACCTGTCAGTCCATCTGTCCTAAAGTGAATTGTCTCATTTCAGGGAACTTGTGGAAAATGTACACTCCGTAGAAACCGTTGTGCAGAAAATTCATTACCCGTTGTAAGTAAAAGCATCAGCTTTACAATTAGGTAATAAATAAGATATTACCTTTTTCATGCATTCCAATAAAATTTCTTACACCTTATATCCAAGGGTGGGCTTCAAAAATTTCAGCAGCAGGATCTCTGCCCGGTTGCCGGGTGGGTGTGGTCATGATGGGCATGGCCTAGTCAGCCTCCTGCACCATGGGGGGAGGGCTGTTTTTGCCTTCCCCATGCTCTGTAGGCTTTCCTTAAGCCCCTGGGAGGGCGAAAACTTCCTCCCCCGGGTTCTGGAGGCCTTCTGGAGGCCGGAAACAGCCTTCCGGAACTTCCAGGAGGCCCATTTTGCCCTCTCCCCGAGCCTTGCGCTTACCTTTCATCCAAAACTGGCCACATGGAGACTCCTGGTTGGGGCGGGGTGGGCAGAGCCAGCCAGGGGTGGGATTTAGAGGTTCTCCAAACCAGCCATAACTTTAGCTACAGGTTCTTCCAAACCTGGGCGAACCCATAGCAGCCCACCTCTGCTAATAGCAAAACTCCACTGCTTGCCTTATTGTATAACATAGATTACCTTTCATGGTAATCATGGTAATCATGGTAATCTAGATTACCCTTTCATGGGTAAGAATATTTCTATGTTTGCTTTTTTTAATATTCTAGGCTTCATTAAATAGAAAATGCATCTATCAGGATTCGTACCTGATGAAATATGGGTGTGCTTACTACTGTAATGTGACAAAAAAGGTAAGAGATGAAAATCAAAATTGTGAAAGAATTTAAACCTTCACTTTCTCACAGTCTTTGTGCAAGACATAATCTGATTGATTGAATTACTTAAGGTGAACACGGTTCTAGGCATTGATTGTGTTTTGTCTGAAATAATTGAAAAGAATCACAATTGATAGCAGCCTCTGCTGGCATCTCTGTATTATTGATCAGACTGGATATATTCCAAATGACTGGGTACTGACAACAGTCCTAATTTATAAAAAGAGTCATAAGAATGATCATGCAATTACAAGCGTATCGACCTTTTTGAGTGTCATTAGCAAATTATATGCTAGACATTTTAATCACAAGCGCCAAGCTTAGTTAGAGAAATAGGGTATAATCCAAGGTGAACAGGCATGGTTCAAAGAATGGAGGTCATCAATAGACCACATTTTGGTGCTCTACCATCTCATACCATAAAGATAAAGATTCCCTCGCACATATGAGCTAGCTGTTCCTGACACTAGGGGGCAGTGCTCATCTCCGTTTCAAAGCCAAAGAGCCAGTGCTGTCCGAAGATGCTTCCATGGTCATGTGGCTGCCATGACTAAATACTGAAGGGGCATGGAACACTGTTACCTTCTCACCAAAAATGGTTCCTATTTTTCTATTTTTCTACTTTCTACTACCATACCACCTTTTACATACTTTCAAACTGCTAGGCTGTCAGAAGCTGGGACAAGTAATGGGAGTTCACTCCGTTACGCAGTGCTAGGGATTCGAATCGCTAAACTGCCGACCTTTTTTATCGACAAGCTCAGCTTCTTAGCCTCTGAGCCTCCGAGTCCCCTATCTCACACCATAGTACACTCCTAAAAAGACATTCTCCCTCTTTGTTGCCTTTCTAAATTTTAAACATGACTCAGTTGATTCAATTTACAAAAATGTCCTTTGGGGGAAACAATTAAAAAAAACTATTGACAGGTGCCTCCCCTTTCTGATGGAGAAATTATATTCCCATACCACCTTAAGCCTGAAGTGAAAATTGGGGGAAATATTTGAATTAACCTCTCTTTTGTGTTTATAAAGCTCCATTTTTTATGTGTGGGTTAAGTTTGGCTAATTCAGGAAGTTTATGTTAAGGATTTTCCCTGTTTGCTGTTTTTACTTAATTCCATTATTTTCAACTCTGCAGTCAATTATTTAGCAGAGAGCCGATTCAGCAATCTTTTGCAACAAAGTACACAGTTTCTGTTGTCTGTCATTTGTGGATTGTTTGTTAATGATCAGAAATCAGAGGGTCGGAAACAGCCGCGAATTAAATCTACTTTTGAGTTAAGGTTTCTAAATTGATTACAATTCTTTCCACACTTGTTTCACAGGAGCCTGAATGTTGCAAAGGATTCTTTGGCTCTGATTGCAATCAGTGTCCTGGTGGCTTTTTGAACCCGTGCTTTGGAAACGGCCAGGTAAATAACGGCATGCAAATGGAAATTTCAGGATCTATATTACTGGTTGTATGCTAGAAAATGAGCTCCATTCCTTGACTGGTTCCTTCTAGTGATTCGTCTTTCTGATGAATATAGCAGGAAATGTCAGCTCTTATCTCCTCCAGATCAGGAATTTCTAACATCACTTAATGGCCATGTTCAAACTTGCATTTTTCTCCCCCACAATGCAGTGTATGGATGGGATGAAAGGAAATGGCACTTGTATTTGCAAGAGTGGATTTGTACGCTCGCAGTGCCAATTTTGTGCAGATCCCAATAAATATGGACCACAATGTAGCAAAGGTAAGCATTCCTTTTTCAAAAGACAAGGGAAGGAGCTATTTGGGAGGCAATGCACATGCCAACTCAGCATGGAGTGTCAGATCCAAAATCAATGGAATCGGGGTTCTGCCAGGCATTGGGACTTTTGCATAAACTTCCCACTGCATCCTAGAGCCGAGGTGGTGCAGTGGTTAAATGCAGCACTGCAGGCTACTTCAGCTAACTGCAGTTCGGCAGTTAGGCTGTTCAAATCTCACGGGCTCAGGGTTGACTCATCCTTCCATCCTTCCGAGGTGGGTAAAATGAAGACCCGGATTGTTGTTGGGGGCAATATGTTGACTCTGTAAACTGCTTAGAGAGGGCTGAAAGCCCTATGAAGCGGTANGGGCCTCTTCAGATCAAGCATTTATTTTAAAAAGCTTCTTCATCTTGTTGAGCTGTCTACAACAATAATAAAGCATTGTTTAAAAAATAAGTCTAATAATTTGAACATTCTATATGCATTTATAGTTATTGATTTCCCTTCTTTCAGCAAACAGCCTGATTAGCACAAGAAATTTTTTTTTTGCTTCTGCCTCCCAGCAATTTGCCTCTTGGAGCAAACAGCAAGTTTCAGTTTCAATGTAAGCACACTTCCCAATCATCAGCTGTTTCAGGCTTCAGGGATTGCTATAGCCTATTACAGCCTCCGCAAGCCCCATTTTCCCCGTTTGCTGCAAGGAGGTAAATTGCTGGGAGGCAGAGGTCAAAGGGTGGGGGACGGTGGGTGGGTGGGGCTACATTTAGTGTATAAGACACACCCAAATTTTCACCCTCTTTTGGGGGGGAGATGCGTCTTATACTCTGAAAAATATGGTAATTTGTTTTTTGTCTTTTTATATCAGAGGTATGCTTTCAAGCCTGATGGTGATTCAGTGATGCAATAGGACAACACCTGAGAAGCAACCCATATTTTAGCAGCTCAGATGTCTTTTTCTATGTTTCCCTGAACATCCATTATTCATAAATGAACATTCAGTTCATTTATTAGTTTGCTGGCATGAAACAACAAAATGCTAGACTAAGATCCAGTTTCAAGATTTTCTTTAGTCAGAAAGCTCATAGCATGTCATAGGCTTATTCATTTATTTTAACAGAATCAGTTGGAAGGGACCTTGAAAGTTTTCTAGTTCTAGATTCTTGGCATCTTTTTTTATATGGTGGTGACCAAAATTGGATGCAGTATTCCAAGTGTGGTTTTACCAAAGCAGTATAAAGCAGTACTAACACTTCAGATCTTGATACAATCTCTGTTTGGAAGCTGTAGCAGAATGCTAGCTTATACTTAAATGGTTATCTACTAGGACTCCTCTCATAGTTAAGAGATAATAGTTAAATAGTTAATTTCCACTACCAGTTGCCAGAAGTGGTCAGAACCTGCTGAATACCACCTCTGCAAAGTTCCTTCACAGGATTGTTTTTGTGAGGGGTTAAAAGAAAAGACTTCCCCATACATGTTGCCTCGGAGAGAAAAATCAATATTCAGTGTGATATAAGAATTAAATATTAATAATGAAAGAAAGTTATGGCAGGCTACAAATACCATAAAAACTGAAAAAACAAAACTAAATGAAGTAAAATGAAAAGAACAAAGCATGGTCAAGAAGATGAAATAAAAAAAGGACTGGCATTGCATAGAAAAGATGTGAATGTTTACTTGGAAATATAACAGTGGATTCAACTACTTACCTTCCATAGGACTGTGAAATTATGGCAAGGAACTACATAGTAGGGGGCCCCATTTACAGAAAAGACTTTACCACCTAGGTAGAAGAACATATTTGTAGATACTATATAATGGAGATGATTATAGTTTGATTAGTGCTGCTGTAAATTGTGAATTGGCCCCACGCTAAGAGTTTTGGATTCAGAAAGACACAACTCTCTATAAGCAAATCAATACTTGACATCATTTAAATATGCTTCCTCCCATTAGGCATCACATATTAAATGGAACATACAGAGTTGAGGATCTTCAAACCATGACACAGTCTAATGCATTTGCAAGGACATTGCAGGACAATTTCCTAACATTGTCGGAAAGAGATGGGGTACGTTGGCCATTATACTGCAACCCATCACTTTAGGCTATTCCTCTCATATGTGCTAAGAAAAGATATGCTAAACTTGTGTACTCTTGAATTTAAACATGTTTCTCCAAAGAGTCAAATGAGAAATCTTTTGTAGGCTGAAATGTGACTTTGGGACCACAGAGCTGAAACTGCTTTTCCTCATTATTATTTTTTGTACTTTTTCCTTCTGTTGAAAGCCACAGAGGAGTGTTACATTTGGCAACTCAATGTACATGTTACCAATGAGCCCAATCTTGTAATCTCAGATGAGAAAGGAAGAAGAGTGGTTTTGTTCCATACATATAGGGTTAACCTTAATATATTACAGAATTTGGGCTGCCTGGATGCAAAAATCAAGATGACAATTAAATGGGAGCAAAATTTGCATAATTTTTTTTACCATTTATCTATAAAAGGGATATGGCTTAAAATGGAAAATTGCAAATAGAAGGGAACATTTGGATTGTACAGCTAAATGTCTATGCAGATTCTCAATCATACACGGCATGTCCTAAATATGCTTTTTTTTAAAGGCAATTGGGCTTTCTTGAGTTTTTTTTTCCTTTGAAAATGCTTTCAATTCAAATTCAATCCAAAACAAATCCAAGAAGCTTCTTCAGTTCAAGAAAAAAAAAGTCAGTTGCCTTTTGGAAAAAGCCCCTTTGGGACGTTTGGATTACACACCCAATTTGCTAACAAAAGTCTGGGTTAGAGTACCCTTGGAAAAAGATAATTTCCTACTTAGTCATTTTTGATTAGAAATCCAGCAAATTTTATGCATCTTAATTAAGCCACTTTTGTCCTCTCTTTTCCAGAATGTTTTAATTGATGGAGCTAACATAATATCTGGTGATATTGCAGCCACAAATGGGATTATTCATATAATAGATAAGGTATTATCAATATTTCTTTTTCTTAAATGCCTCTGAGTTATTATGTACATCCAACTGGGAGAACATTCTGTACTTTTTGAAAGTTTATTCACTATAATGTTTGATAACATTTTTAGTTCTAATTTAGTGCTGCCTGATTGTGAACTGTGATTTATTTTCTTCCACTAGCAGAACTTCCTTTTAGTAAACTATATAAAATACAGTTTTAAAATAATGATATTATTTGACCAAGGTAAAAGGTAAAGGTTCCCCTCGCACATATGTGTTAGTCATTCCCAACTTTAGGGGTTGGTGCTCATCTCCATTTCAAAGCCAAAGAGCCAGTGCCATCCGAAGATGTTTCCATGGTCATGTGGCTGGCATGACTAATGCCAAATGCACACGGAACACTGTTACCTTCTCACCAAAGGTGGTCTCTATTTTTCTACTTGCATTTTTTACATGCTTTCGAACTGCTAAATTGGCAGAAGCTGGGACAAGTAACAGGAGCTCACTCCATTACGCGGCGCTAGAGATTTGAACCACTGAACTGCCAACCTTTCTGATCGACAAGCTCAGCATCTTAGCCACTGAGCCACCGCATCCCTTCTTTGACCAAAGTTCATACCTATTATTACCCAACCCATTTTGTTAGGAATTTGGCATTTGTGCAAAACTGTTCTGTTTTGGGATGAAGTGAATCTTTGTCTTTCTCTGTTGGAAATCAAGCAAATATTTTTAGCCCTAGCAGCACTTTCATTTTGCTAAATTCAGAATATATTTTCTAAAATCTCTTGAATGACAAATATATACCGAACACTGTTTCTTTTTCCTATGGTACTCAGTAGATAGGACCTTACTGCAGCAAAATGAATTGTCTGAATCTGACGTTGTGGTTTCTTTCTTTCTTTCTTTCTTTCTTTTTTTTTTTTTGCATTGCAGGTTCTAGCCCCTCTTAGAGGACTGAGTGGCTCTTTGCCAAAACTGCTTCCTCGCTTAGAACAGATGCCGGACTACTCCATTTTCAGGAACTATATCATTGTAAATCATCAGGTTCTTATTAAAATTGCCCCCTATTAATCAAACAAACTTATTTCATAACTTTGCATTTGTGTTTCCATAACAGCACTACAATCTGGCAAATGTAATAGAAGCCTCTCCCATGTACTCGGTTTTCGCTCCAAGTAATAACGCCATTGAAAGTTACCTGAAGGAAAAACAGTCAGCATCTCTAGTATGTATTAACTCCCAAACCTTTCCTTAAGAAAATATCTTTAACTGAGGTTTGTTTGTTAACTGTCCAATGGCTCAGAGCAAAACTGAAACCATGGCAGTACTGCTGAGCATTCTGGCATAAGGATAGTGTCAGGGTTCCAACTGATGCCCTAATAAAAGCAGAAGCCTCAAGCCAGTTTTCAAGAGATATCCAGTTATTCATTAGGAGCAATATGTCAGCACAGACCAAGTGAAGCCAGCTCTGACCCGACTCACCTTGCCTCTGACCCTGCTTCCCCCTGCTCCCAAGGTGTGCCATCAGTCACATTCCCCAACGAAGCAATTTCGCGGGTCATAGCCATTACTGGTTTCTGTGGAGATGGCCTTGACTTTGGCCGGCTAGGATGCACATTGTTTTGAATGAGGTGCAAATTCCTTGATGCAGCTGCAAGTCTCAATTCCCCATCCCCCCGCCTATGGCAACTCGGGAGCAGGTTAGGGAAGCTTCACGAGCAAAATTGAAACTATGGCGGTACCAATGATACCAACCTGGCATAAGGTTAGCATATTCTATGAGATTCTGAGATTCTAAATAAGCAGTGTCTGGGTGAGATGCATTAACTCTGCCTATCTAAACTGACTGACTAACTGAACCATGGCTTTGGTTTGGAACTCCATACAGGTAGTCCTTGACTTATAACCATTTGTTATCCCCGTTCGAAGTTACAAGGGCACTGAAAAAAGTGTGACTTATGACTATTTTTCTTATTTACAAACTGCAGCATCCCCATGGTCACATGAGCAAACTTTGGATGCTTGGCAACTGGTTTGCATTTATGACGGTTGCAGGGTCCCAGGCTCATGTAATCACCTTTTGTGACCTTCTGACAAGCAAAGTCAATGAGGAAGCCAGATTTACTTAACATCCGTGTTATTAACTTAATAACTGCAGTGAATCACTTAACAACTCTGGCAAGAAAGGTCATAAAATGGGGCAAAATTCACTTAACAACTGTCTCATTTAGCAGCATAAATGTTGGGCTCAATTGTGGTCATCGGTCAAGGACTACCTGTCATGATTTTTAATTTGTCTTTGGCTCTTTGGTATTGGGTTGAAATAAAATTAGCATGGTAAGGCAGCTTTCTGCAGCCATCAAGCATGTTGTTATCAATTTCCCAGGAGAGGTAGATCACTTTGTCATTTTCTATTTCTGGGTTGCCAAAATTCTGCATCAGAATGAACCCAAATGAATTGTTTTATGAATAAATTATAAGAGGATGATAAGATAGATAAACAGAATTAAGGGGAGTATTCAAAATCCAGAATAGATGGTGATTGAACAGAAAAATCTGTCACCATTCTATAAAACAAATCAGGAACACTATAGGAATGGTTAGTTTATATTATTATGAAAAAACAAAAAGTTGTGATTGATGTTAATGCCTTATTTTACTACAACAGAGAGAATCACAAGTCAATGTTTCTTTTTCTTTTTCCTAATCCTTCCTCACTCTTCTCTCCCCCACATTCCTCCCCACTATTTTCCTATTTTCTTTTGTATTTTGTATCTTATTTTATCTTACAAGTCAGGGGTGTCAAACTCACATCATCATGGCAGCATCACATGACATATCACAACTGTTTTCCCCTTCGCTAAACCGGGCGTGGGCATAACACCTCCAACCCACCAGCTATGAGTCTGACAGCCCTGTTATAACTCAATAAAAATGTTAACTTAAAAAACCAGGAGTAGTGCAACAAAGTGATAACTGAGTTTGTGATTATTAACCAAATCACTTATTCTTCTAAAACTAACTTCCTCTTCTTTGCTTTTATAAAATACGCATGAGCAGATAGTAAATTGATACATTAGGGGCATCCACAGTTATGCTTTTTAAAAAAAAGTCAAGATGGTGACCACAACAATGCTGTCAAAAGTCGTATCTGTTTTTTATGTGACACCTATATAAAAATAGATGGACCTTTGATTACACCATTGTGGACCCAGTACTCTCAAACTCAGTGTATCTGAATAAAAATGAAGGCAGAACATTTCTGTCTTAGAATCAAATGCAAATCATGTTTTATTTAAATCCAAAAGAAATGTAGAGTCTGCCTTCTAGAGGAAGAATCATACAGGGGAGGAAAAACCTCTTAATCTTTTCTATTCTACAGTTTTTCTGATAAAAGGGCAAACAAGCTTTTTACCCTATTCTTGTCTCTCTGCCAAATGCAGTGGGAAGCAAGTAGAAAGAAATTGTAAGCCTATAAATAGGCTCTGGCATTTATGTTTTATACATATTTAAATTCTGAATGGTTGGGTTTTTTCCAGAAAGTTCCTGTTAGAGATATAATTAATATAATATATGACTTGAATGGTTTTTTTTCATTGGAGTCTTTGAATTAAATAGGGGTTTGTAATTTTAAAAATTACAAATCCTATTTAGCAGATAATCCAGAAAGTGTGCTCCTGTTGTAAGTTACGATCTCTCTATCATGACACCATAAGCTTTCTCTCTTTCTAAATTAAAATCCTTACACCCAGTCAAAAGGTAATTAGTAATAACATCTGCTGACAACCAACTTTTTATTAGAAAAAATGGAAATTTGACATCCTGCTAAAGTATTCAACAATCCCTATTCCTGGAAACCACAGGATGAAGATCAGATCCGGTATCATATTATCCTGGGAGAGAAGCTCTTGAAAAATGACCTGCATAATGGAATGTTCAAGACAACCATGCTTGGATTGTCCTTCAGAGTAGGATTCTTCAATCATGATGATCAGGTGAAGCCAGTATTCATTATCATGGAATTTGCTGTAATTTATTTATCTAGACACCTGTGCTTAGAAAAGATTTACATTAATTGACTGTGTTCAGAAAAATCCCATTGGTTTCAGTAAGCAGGATTTTACGCCAGACACCCAAAGAGGATGCCCTACCTAGCATAAATGTATCTGTGCTCTCAGTTAATGAGGCAATTCATCAGATGTAAACATTAAACGGATCCCTTTCTGGATCCCTTTCTGGACCCCTTTCTGGATCCCTTTCTGGATCCCTCTCTGGATCCCTCTCTGGATCCCTCTCTGGATCCCTCTCTGGATCCCTCTCTGGATCCCTTTCAGTCGGGTTTCAGGCCTCGTTATGGCACCGAAACTGCTTTGGTCACGCTGATCGATGATCTCTGGCGGGCCAGGGATAGAGGACATTCCTCTATCCTAGTGCTTCTTGANGCTCTTTGCCAAAACTGCTTCCTCGCTTAGAACAGATGCCGGACTACTCCATTTTCAGGAACTATATCATTGTAAATCATCAGGTTCTTATTAAAATTGCCCCCTATTAATCAAACAAACTTATTTCATAACTTTGCATTTGTGTTTCCATAACAGCACTACAATCTGGCAAATGTAATAGAAGCCTCTCCCATGTACTCGGTTTTCGCTCCAAGTAATAACGCCATTGAAAGTTACCTGAAGGAAAAACAGTCAGCATCTCTAGTATGTATTAACTCCCAAACCTTTCCTTAAGAAAATATCTTTAACTGAGGTTTGTTTGTTAACTGTCCAATGGCTCAGAGCAAAACTGAAACCATGGCAGTACTGCTGAGCATTCTGGCATAAGGATAGTGTCAGGGTTCCAACTGATGCCCTAATAAAAGCAGAAGCCTCAAGCCAGTTTTCAAGAGATATCCAGTTATTCATTAGGAGCAATATGTCAGCACAGACCAAGTGAAGCCAGCTCTGACCCGACTCACCTTGCCTCTGACCCTGCTTCCCCCTGCTCCCAAGGTGTGCCATCAGTCACATTCCCCAACGAAGCAATTTCGCGGGTCATAGCCATTACTGGTTTCTGTGGAGATGGCCTTGACTTTGGCCGGCTAGGATGCACATTGTTTTGAATGAGGTGCAAATTCCTTGATGCAGCTGCAAGTCTCAATTCCCCATCCCCCCGCCTATGGCAACTCGGGAGCAGGTTAGGGAAGCTTCACGAGCAAAATTGAAACTATGGCGGTACCAATGATACCAACCTGGCATAAGGTTAGCATATTCTATGAGATTCTGAGATTCTAAATAAGCAGTGTCTGGGTGAGATGCATTAACTCTGCCTATCTAAACTGACTGACTAACTGAACCATGGCTTTGGTTTGGAACTCCATACAGGTAGTCCTTGACTTATAACCATTTGTTATCCCCGTTCGAAGTTACAAGGGCACTGAAAAAAGTGTGACTTATGACTATTTTTCTTATTTACAAACTGCAGCATCCCCATGGTCACATGAGCAAACTTTGGATGCTTGGCAACTGGTTTGCATTTATGACGGTTGCAGGGTCCCAGGCTCATGTAATCACCTTTTGTGACCTTCTGACAAGCAAAGTCAATGAGGAAGCCAGATTTACTTAACATCCGTGTTATTAACTTAATAACTGCAGTGAATCACTTAACAACTCTGGCAAGAAAGGTCATAAAATGGGGCAAAATTCACTTAACAACTGTCTCATTTAGCAGCATAAATGTTGGGCTCAATTGTGGTCATCGGTCAAGGACT